ATCAATTGATAAACCTTATTATACATATTTCTGTGTCCATTACAGCTATGAAATCGTGATTCAAGTACAGTACTCCTTCACTGCACCTTGAATCAAATCACTCAATCTAACTGAGAAGAAATCAGTAGCTTAATTTGAAAACTTAAATTTAACCATGACGTATAAATAACAACACAGATGAAACCAATAAAAGATGAAGAAAGAAATTTAATTACAAAAGAAGAGAAACAGAGGAAACGATGGGCCGACCACTTCAAGAAGCTCTTGAATCGACCACCACCTGCACTTCTTCCAGAAATACCACCTGCAGCCGCTGAATTACAAGTGAACATAAATCCCCCAACGAAAATGGAAGTCCTGAACGCCATAAAGCTACTGAAATGCGGGAAAGCAGCACGACCAAATGGGATACCGCCAGAAGCACTGAGAACAGACACAGAGATAACAGTGGATACGCTCACACCACACCGCTATTGCAGAAGGTGTGGAAGGAAGAGAAGGTGCCTGACGATTGGAAGAAGGGTTACCTTGTCAAACTGCCGAAGAAAGGAGACCTGAGTGCTTGCAAGAACTGGCGCGGAATCACTCTCCTGTCCACCCAATGCAAGCAAAATATTAAGCCGCATCATCCTGGAGAGGCTTAAAGACGCACTGGATTCAAAACTACGACCGGAACAGGCAGGCTTCAGGAAGTACAAATCATGTGCTGACCAAATTGCAACGCTACTCTACGCATCATCATAGAACAGAGCATAGAATGGCAATCAGCTCTCTACCTCAACTTCATCGACTTTGAGAAGGCCTTTGACAGCGTCGACCGAGAAGTAATTTGGAAACTGCTTCAATACTACGGAGTACCGCAAACCTTTATCCGCCTCATTCAACAACTATATGAAGATGCCACATGCCAAGTAATCCACAAGGGGAAGCTCAGTGATGCTTTTCAAGTGAAGACAGGAGGGAGTAAAACAAGGCTGCTACCTACTATCACCCATGATATTCCTGATTGTGGTTGACTGGACTGAATCATGCAACAAACAGTGAGGAGAGAGAAGAGGGGCATACACTGGCTGCACCGGGGAAAAGATCCTAGAAGATTTTGATTTCGCCGATGACTTGTGCCTGATGTCACATAAACTTGAAGATCTGCAGGCAAAAACTAACAAGTTGACAGAAGAGGCAGCTAAGACGGGACTTCAAGTGAATATAGAGAAGACAGAGGTGATGAAGATACCCAACCAACAACAACAGCATCAGCAACAACAAGCTGCAATCGCCATCAACGGGAGAAACTTAAAGGAAGTGGCCTCCTTCACCTGTCTAGGCATGCAGCACTGTCTCAACTACAGGCGGCACTGACGAGGATGTCAAAGTCAGAATCGGAAGAGCAAGACAGGTGTTGATTAGCCTGAAACCAGTGTGGAGATCTTCTGCACTGCACTCAGCATAAAACGTGAACTACATACAGATTTTCAACACTAATTCAGTCAAGTCAGTGCTACTGTATGGTTGAGAGACTTGGCGCGTCACGAAAGTGATTTCCAATAAACTACAGACATTCATCAACAGCTGCTTGCGCTGGCTCGCTACTGAAGATCAGATGGCCAGAAAGAATAAGCAACAAGGAGCTCTGGGAACGGACCAACCAAGAACCTATCACACAGCAAATATGCAGGAGGAAGTGGAGATGGATTGGGCATGCACTGAGAAGACCGACTGGGGACATCACGTGTCAGGCCAGTTGCTCGAGTGGAATCCCCATGGGAAGCGACGAGTTGGACGTCCGAGGTGAGGGTGACATGGAGGAGGTCGTGCGAGGAGGAAATGAGAGGTTGTGGGCTGTCGTGGAACCATGTTCAAAAGATTGTAGAGAACAGAGGTCACTGGAGACGTGCTACTGAAGCCCTTTGTTCCACTAGGAACCCAAGGGACTAATAATAATATAATAATAGATAAATGACAAACTGCGCAATAAAATCAATCATCACAAACCTCCGAACAAACTACAATTTAGTACTTATTAGTGACATACTTCTAGATATATTTCCCGAAGTTCTTATGAGAAGCTTTGGTCTTTGGGGCCAACCAAGTCGAATATCTGGGCAAATACTATCCAGTGGTATTCAACGATGATCGCTCTGCATTGAGGATTGACCCAAGTACTCAACTTTATCAAAATATTAGTCATTTTACTACTCAATGATACACTTGTGATCCTCCGTTGTTTTATTGGATTGAATTGTTTCCCCAATATAGAGGTGGAACAATTCAATCCAATAAAACAACGGAGGGTTACAAGTATATCAATAAATAGTAATAACTAATACCCGTTGTATAAGAAATGGGTATCGTGTCCCCATGGCTTAGTAGGTTACGCTTTGGCGTTTGAGGCGATGGGTGTGAGGTTCGAGTCTCAGTGGGAATAAGACCACTCACTGGGGTGCAGGTATATCCAGTTGAAAAGTCCCAAATAGGATGAAATGCGCGTCCCGGATTCTTCTGCTAGCAACAACCAAGCAAATTACCATTATTAGTTACTTTAACTCTTATGGAAGACATATGGAGGATACGATTTTTATCTGTGATAAAGATATTGATTTAGACAATGTCCTTCGCTCGTTCGATGACTATCATCCAGTCCTGAAGTTCACCATAGAGAAAGAATCAGAATTAACTATTTCTTTTCTTGATGTGCTTTTCACCAAAGGCAACAATGGATCCCTCAAAAGATTCACCAATAGAAACGCAACGTGAAACGGACAGTTAACTAATTTTTATAGTTGGGCGCCTGTAAAAAAAAGAAATTTAATTCTCTCTCTCTCTCTCTCATAAAATAAGGATATATGAGAAAGAAATACAAAACCGGTCAGTCGCTCGGTTTCGAAGAAAAGTGTTCATGAACCTAGAAACTATCAGATGTACTCAGGAATCACGTATGTACAACAAGGAGTGAAACGTTCTTCGCAGCGACAATTCGGCTATTTTTTAGCAACCGTAAACTATTCTCCGTTTGCGTGAAACATATGCATCCTCTTCTGGTTGCCTCTATGTGTATCTTCCAGTTCATCTGCTCTCGTGAAGCAAGGTAGATTGCTGATAGCCAGTGAATGCTTTCTACATGTATACAAGAATATGTTCCAGCCCGGTTTTATAAAGTTGAAAGAAAACCTGTTAAAGTTATATTCTGGAAAATTTGATTGATTTCCATCACTCAACAAACCCAGACAACGACTTTAAATTGTTTATCGAATTCATCCAAACCTCCCATGTTCTCACCTTCTTTAAATAGCGGTCTTAGCTATTTGTAGTGCATACTCCTGGCACCAAAATACAACTAGGGCTAAAATAAATAGATTAAATTAAACTAACTAAATAAACCTCTAGCTCACCTCCGGATGCTTTAGGTGTTTTTAAGTTTTGTTTTAACGAGCATGCATCCGAGCAGGCTTGGACGCCATTTCGCACTCCATAGTGCTGGTTACCACGCACGTACTCAGAGTCCCTAGTTCAGCCTTACAAGCCAGATAAGTTGATTCAACTTTTCCCCCATCTATTACTATTACATTTACTTCAAATATATTCCAGTATCAGTTCTTTTGATTTATGTTTTGTTATCAGTACTTACACGTTAGGTAAAGTACTGGTTAAGCAGGTACTAGAGCACATCAAGTTAAGTAGGGTTGATCAAACGTTACGGAATTGTAACACCTACCCCTACATATTCATAAACTGAAGCCTGATCTTTTACCATGACATTTTACCACCTAAACTAGTTCACTCTCCCGCTTTTTTGAACTAGTCTTTGTATCCTTCCTTTATCCCTATTATTAATATAATTATTTTCACTTCGATTAGTTTCCAGTGTTATTTCACTTAATTTTCTTAATCTTTTTAGAAAATATTGATTTCATTTTAACCAACTAATCTAATCCCATCGCATAATACTTCGTTGACTTATCACCTTCATCAATTCTTCACGCCTTTCACAGTTATATACGTCCTACGAACCATTCTACGACTCACATAACCTACTTAATTTGATCCATCGGATCCTTAAGCCGGCAAAGGTTGTCTTTGAGTGAGTTTGTAGGCTTAAATGCCACCCTAATTCCAACCTTGTTGAGAATCCTACCTAGTTTCTGATGTTCCTTCCTAATATGGCATTTAAATCTACGAACTCACTCAGAGATACGCTTTGCCCGCTCAAAGATCCCACAGAACCAATTAAGCAACATAATCTAATCTACCGAAATCCATGCAATGACGGTGAGGTCAAGTACATAAATCAGAATACCCGGTTGGGGTCAGGTTAGATTAGCGGAACATAAGAATCTAGCTAAATATAGAAGGACAGACCCCAATAAAATCAATAATCGCAGAAAAAAAACTCGGTCATTGCAATACATGCGTTAACGCACAACCACACAATACAGTGGGATAAAACCACTGTCCAATATAACTAGATGAAGCGAGAGAGAGAGAGAGATTACTGAATCTTTGTTCACCGAATCAACACCCAACACATGTGTCAGGAATGATGCAACACCTATACCACAGATGTGGAAAACTTTACTAGCAATGAAAACAAAGAATAAGAGGTGACAGAACCATAGAAACCAGCTGTCGGAAGTGATGTGATAACATTGATATAACTGAACAGTGATAATTTATGCTCGAAACGTCGTCAAGTAGGTAATACTGCATTACTGTGTGTTATAAATAAAAACAAATTTAATATGGAATTACATTCTGCCATAGTGCTTATATTAAGTATGCTAATTACATGAAAACCTCTGTGCAAATTGGTTATCAATTAAACTGTTCTCAAATAAAACGGTTTTTTATCTAGCAATGACCAACACTTTCTAGCTAAATCCCTTTAATTGTTAGACTATGAGTGATCTGCCTCAGTTCCACGACTCATGCAATATTGATGATACTATTTTACAAAATTCACCGAATGTTATCAACCCCGGGTTGTTCTATTCCCATCATCGGTTATCATAAATTTTGTTGGTTTCAATAGAGAAATCATTGATAACAATTAGTTCCCTTAATATAAATACGCGTGTGACAAGTACGTGTATGATCACATTGCTCGAAATATGTTGTGCAAATACAGTTCAGACAATCTATGCCTTTTTATTTGGTCAAAAAAATCGTTCGTTTGACAGACTATACAGGGAAGTTGAATCTCTTTTGCACAGTTCAGCCTCTCTTTTTGCTGTTTTTTAGTTCTTATATATTTTACCTACTATTCCATATTGTTCCTTTTTATTCTTTCCTCAATTGCTGAGCAAACGCCATTACCTTGCGTAGAGACTTACACTTTTTGCTGAACTAGTGACGTACTTCTGAACTTACTGATTAACAGATCCTTGAATTCCCGCAAATAACTGGTTATAGCCAATTTATCAAACGCCAAGTATTCTCCCTATTCACAGCTTTCTTCTCATGGAAGACAAAAGCAACTCCATAAGGCGTTTTGAGCACACAGCCAAGTACGACAACTCAACCACACCCTATCTGGTACGTATTCCTACAAAGAAATATTAGAACAAAGCTTACCTGCCAATTTTGCAGCAGTAAAGAAACATCAATTTCAGTTTTGTTGCATATCATGTACTAATGAGAGTGATACTACTGTCATTAAAATTATTAAATCACTATTATTATTTCATTTGAGAATGTTATACAAGGAGAAAATTTGTTGCAATATTACGGACTGAGAATTCACTCGTGTATCAAAATATTGCCGGAGATATTCTATCGTATTATCAAAGTGTAAATGCAGCTTTCATCGGCCACATTTATGTTAATCAGTTGTAGAAAGAGAAACCGACCAAAGTAAAAACAAAAAACCAACGACACTCACAGTATTGTAATGATTGCATTTTTGCCATCAATTCGAAAATTCCTAGATTTCAAACTACGTGATATTTCACTCACTTAGATAATCATATCAAGACTTTTAAAAATGCCTCAGCTCAGTAGTTACTGGTTTCATGAACTGATATCGTTTCAGTTAACCGACCGACCTACACGTATCTCAATGTGTCAAACGCGTCAGTACACATAACCCATCCTTCAAGTACCTATCGACAAAAAATAAGCAAGCCCCTCCTTAAATTATACACTTAGTTATAAATCTGTATATTCGACGATCCCAACATGGTAATAGGCATATCAAATAATTTATTGATAAAATACTCGTAGCTTTCTTATACAATCTGCCTTCAACGCAATATTAAACAAAGACCACTGTTACGATATACACTTTGTCTCTTGATAGTTGACTGGAAGGAATTAATTCAGTAACCACGTGCACGTTAGCGCAGTAGATATCGAGCCAAACACATGTGAGACTCCCGGTGGTGGATGGGACATCTTTAGAACCCGCCAACCATCATTAAGAAATCAAGTGTCTAGATCAATGAGCCACAACCTTATAAATCAGGTGAGTTAAGGTAACATAATCACCCCTATAATCTATGTGTGAATAAATGGTAGTGCAAAAGGTTCGTCAGTAAATTAGATGTTTTGTACATTTAACTGCTGAATACGTCATTCACCAAAAGTCAACGTAACTTTCATACAAGATCATTTATTTTAATAACACAAGTAGGACGTGTATAGTTAACAAGTGAAAACGACTAGTGAAAAATTATCTACACTGAATTTGTATTAATGTGCGGAAGAGTTATCTTCAAATGTGTTTAACACTCGCTAAAGCAAACTTGACAGAAATACATCAAAACAAAAAGAAAGCGATACATTGGCGATAAGAAATGTGTTGGCGCAACATGCACGTGTAATGATGATCACCATAAGAAGTATTCAACTGAAAACAGTCCAGAAATTGTAAAATTATGAAGAAAACTAATCATTATAATAGTTCAACCAAGAAAGTTAACCAATATTATAGTTAGTTAAACAGCATCCGTAAGCGCAACAACTCCGGGTAGTTGTTTACCTAAAAGAGAAGGTGAAAAAGTGTTGGTAACAGTGAATAATAGACAAATAACTAAGTGTAAGTACATTCATTTAAAAGCTAACAGAGCACTTGAAATTAGTCAAAAACTTCATGGTTCACACAGATGATAATCGTTCAACAGTCTTAAGGAATGTAGATTGTTTGCTAAGATCAGAAAAAACAGGTAACATAATATCCAATACTTCAAGTTTGTCAAGTAAACACTCTAATATTAAGCCAAGTCTCAGTAGTGCAACTTTGCTGATGAGTGACGTAATTTACTTTCTAAGGCTGGGGAAAAAAACCAAACACAAAGATGGGACCAACGTAGCACATGGTATGACTGTATAAAGGTTCACGTTGCCATATATTATGTCAGAACATCAAGAAAGAATGCACCAAGATAAAAGAAATGAGGAAGAACGCAATCAACAGTGCTAAAAGTCATCAAAAGAGGGTAAACAAGAATGAAACAATACTGAAATTCAGTAGGACGACTGGATAAATATAACTTGCGGATGCATCTGTGCGACTGGGATCGATTCTGAGCCATATCATCCAGTCTCCAACTGCTGGTTTCTGTTGCTACATGGACCACTACCAAGAAGTTTATAATCTTCTACACAGGACACACCAACAGTCAAAGACTTCATGCAGTGATACAGCGTTTTAATCTGGCAGCCTCTAATCGTTTTCCAACATGAAACTACTTCAGCTTACACGGTGCGATGATGCAGAAGGTGACAAGGCATACGTAACATATGTTCCAGCTATCTCAGTCGATGAGGGTTCACGATTCTATCAACTGACTTTCCTCTTCTCCCTAAAATTATACGTTTGACTTCGATGTTACTGACGCAGTGACACCGTGACAGACGGGCCCATGCTACAAAGTAAAAGGTGGTCAAACACCTGAAGTCTATTCATATCCTTGGCCTTTAATAGCCATGTCTACACCCATATAATAGAACAGGGCGAACTGCAGCGTAGCACACTCGCTCCTCATTGCAGACAATCAGATATCGTGCCGACACCATAGATGGCTTAAGCTTGCAAGAGTCAACTGAGCCATTTATATCCGTGAAGAGATTCCATCGACCACTGACCAACCAGGACTGACCCAACTTCCTAGGTAAGTGAAGTGGTAAACGTATTCAACCACTTCACTCTCAATTGTTATGCAGGGTAGCACTAAAGACCAGTCTTGGAGTAACAATTTGCATTTGGGTGGCGAGAAACGCATCCCATTCTTAAATTACCACTCAATGGGTCCAGAAGACTCTGCATCTTGTCAGCGTCTTTGCCTAACAAAACTGTCATCCGCATGCTCTAAATCTACCATAGATTTGATAAAGTCAAATCCAGTGAAGTCAGACGATGAGAGGGAGACATTTACAAGTACATCTATAATAAAGTTGAATAAGGACGGAGAGAGTGAACATCCCTGACGTACATAACTCACTATAAGCTCTAAACACTCACGGCTGTTCGACTACAAATCCTTCAATAGTGTGGTATTTACTACACACCCCCTTCAGTCAGAGATACTGAGTAAGAACTCTCGACTGACGGATTCTAATGCCACCTTTAGGTCAAGAGATACAGCTAGTGTGTCAAACCGTCGGTAAGTGTGCTTGTGTTCTAGAACATGGTGGAGTGTCGATATATCCACGGCCAGATCTGGGATCTGCCTGATGTTCTCGGTTCCACTGTGCCCGAGCTTCCCCCAGACGTCTTATGATTACAGAACTTAGATTCTTAGACGCCATGTTCGTCAAATTGATTCCGCTTTGGTCATCACAAGAAGAGTTCTCACCTTTAATGTAAGTGTAAAACTTGGGCACTGTGGTCGAGTGTAATTCCATTCTAGTCTGTTTATTAGAAATATCACACAGTGAAACAGTAGCATTTACTGGATAACGTTTCGGACATAATTTATTGTTCATATTCATATCACCTGATATGAATATGGACAATAAATTGTGTCCGAAACGTTATCCAGTAAATGCTACTGTTTCACTGTGTGATATTTCTAATAAACAGACAAAAATAGAGTTCCCACCTTTATTGAGAACTGGGATAATCAGTAATTGAAATCAGCTACAGGGGATTACCTTTGATTACAATACACCAGACAACACTTCTTAACAAAAAAACCACGAATACCATCCTTAAATATCTCGGGTATCAGTCCATCTAGTTTCGACTCGCTTCTTCGTTTCATATTACCTACAGCTTTCACTGACTCTGCAAATATTGGAGGCCTTAATCTTAATGTTCCATTCACGACCCGACTGGTTAGCGGGTGATGGGACATTTAAACGGAGGCCAGTTGAACTGCTCGTCGAAGTATTTTACCAATTATTTTATTCCTCTCCCCTGAGAGCGAATCCCAGACCCATCTTTCACCATAGTCAGAACAACCATTGACCTTTTCAGTCCCGATTTACTTGATAAGTGTAAATATCTGTCACCGCTGCTTTTCCCATTTCTTTAGCTTTCGTTGCCCAATGCTGTTCACGACCATTGGCGTAGACTACCTGTCAGTCAACATTTGACTTGCCTCTGTTCTTCATTTTGCTCGGGAGCTGCAGGGATGCATGTGCCTACATTCACTAGTTTAGGAGCTGCAGAGATCCTCTAGCTCTTTCTAACCACTTTTTGAGTTTAACCTCCGATCTTCAACGCTGTTTTCATAGCAGACTGGAGATGGCACCAAGCTTTCACCGGATGAGTGTTGTTCTGTACCAATAACTATCTAGGCAGTTACTTGCTGAAAGCAGCCTTAGTATTTTCATCGTCAAGCAGCATTTGCAAAAGTCTTGCTGCAGTAGCTTTCCCGCATCTATTCAGGCGCAGACATACACGTGCTTAAGCCAATGCGTGATCGCTATCCAAATGTGTGGCCCAAAAGGAGAGGCAATCTTTCACCGTCTCTCTTCAGTGATAGCCAACAGCAATATGATCTATCTGTTCACACCGGTGAATTGAAGTCAGTGGTAGTCACGTCAGACAATATGTCTGAAGTTCATCCAGGCCAGAAATAGATGAATGTTTGAGCATAGCCTTAGCAGATCACCTTTATCTGTTCGTTCAGCTGAGATTCTACTTAAGTGCCGTTCTACCTGAATTAGTCTACGAAGAAAAAGCCAAATGACCAAAATTAATTACAATCCAACGAAAGTGATACTTCAACTAAGTGAAAACAATCACAGCGTTATTTTCATGCAGTCAGGAAATATGAGTGTAAAAAGGTGAACAGAGTTGATATTGTTCATCACATTGCTTACCTTCGAGAAGCTCTAGGCTAGCACCACCACCAGTACTAACATGACTGACTTTGTCTTCTGTATTCCATTTGGCGCAGCAAGTTGCAGTGTCACCACCACCTTAAAAAAACACAAGATGAATAGATGCTAAAGTGGTCGAGGAAAACTACCCACTAAAAAAAACAAGATCTGAACTCAGAACAGACAGTTGAAAAATCTAACATAATCAACAGGCTGAAAAGTGATTTTACAATATGGTTTATCACAGTCATAAATAGTAAGTGTGTTTAACGGACTAAGCCAGGATACAACGAATACACTGAATAAAAGTATGCATAAAAATCTTACCGATAATAGTTGTAGCTCCATGTTTAGTAACTTCAACCACTGCGTCCATTGCTGATTTTGTCCCAGAAGCAAACTTAGCCATTTCAAAAACACCCATAGGACCATTCCATACAATGGTTTTAGCGCGACTAATAACTTTGCGAAACTCTTCAACTGTTTTTGGTCCGATGTCCAATCCCTAGCAAATTTCAAGTTAAAACAGTTGAATTAGGCCAGCAAGGGAGGTAGTGAAAACCGAAATTGTTACACAGTTACCGGACATTATTGAATGTTCTCTACTGGGAAAACAAAGAACTTCAAAAATCTCCACTTCAGAGGCCACCTAAAGTCTGTGAAGGAAATTTTTCAGTCACCAGAAATGACATGATGCAATCTATAAGGCTAAATAGAGAGAATCTAACCAGTAATTGTGCACAGATTTGTGTAGTAGGTTGTGCAGCACAACTTATAGCTTATGGTATTGTTTTATAGTTGCCTAAATTACGATCCGAAAAATAAGGTCAGAATCAAGGACAGAGTGGTAGGAAGTGCAGTATGCGGCTTCGCCTAATCATTTAATTCGAGTTGATGCTACTTACTGATTTCAGGACGAATTCATTATCCCTAATTAATTTTACAACATCGAAATCCTGAAAACACGAGTCCTATGCAAATTTGATAGACAAACATCCACTCATCCATTCATTCTACGTACAACAAGATAACATTTAGATACTTCTGTATTTTAATTCCCAACAACAGCAGTTACCTGGCAACATTTTCTTCACTCATCAAATGATGAGTACACAAAGACATGGTGAAAATGCTTACAAAAGCATAAGCCAAGCTAATTAGTTTTTTAACTTGCATTTACTGCTCTTATCCCTTTCTTGAAAAACAAGTAAAATACCACAATTCTAACTTCTGGGACTAACTTCAGGATTTTACAAAACTCATAAAATGAAATACTCTTGCAAAACTCCGTAAATAAAAATGCTGCATAAAGTTAGTAAATTCAAGTAAGTAGTCATATTTAGTCTACAGTGAATACATCCTGGGTAAGGACTAGACAGAATAAGTTAATAAAGAGCGTTCGAGCAACCAACTAGTTCATAATACTCGACCAGATGTAGAAATATTTCACATTTACGTGAAGAATACTAATTACACTACTGAACAAATTAGATTTTTCAACCGCCAATAACATGGTCACTAAAGGTGGAAGATATGGGAAGGCTGGCTTCAGGTGTTTGACCACCGTCACCTTCGTAGTATAAACCGTATTCCGTGGTGTCACTACGTGAGTAACGCAGAAGTCAGGTGTAGAGTTTTAGGGAGTAGAGGTAAATCAGTTGACGAGGTTATGAACCTTCATCGACCGAGATGGCTGGGATACGTACTACGTATGCCTAGTCGTCGATTGCCTCGTCCACTAATGTTGGCCGAAGTAGGTCCAAACTGGAAAAGGGCCTGAGGTGGCCAGACTAAAACATGGCATCAATGTATGAAGTGTTGGACTGTTGGTTTGAGTTGTGGAGCGATGCAGAATAGCCGGTTGGGTTCATTGGGACAGGAGAAACCAGTGGTTGGAGAGTCTAGGTGATCGCATGGCTCAGAACCGATGTCAGTGGCGCAGATGTATACACACATTATCCTTATCTTAACGCCATACTGAATCTCACCATTTTCTCTTCCTTCCTTTCTCTCTTTTAGTACTTTATATTTCTATTGGCTGAGTTTTCTTTTCTTCCACTTCACTGCGTCTTTACTTGATGTACTGATATGAAGTGTGGCAAGTCGGACCGTTAAGCAGTAATGCCTGGTCCTATGTTGATGATGATGATGATGTCAATAACTTGAATATTTTGTCTCCAATGGGTTGTATCTCAATATCAAGTTGCCACAGGAGGAAAAGAGTAGCATGTCTAAAATGACTAACAACTTCAAATCTGTACACGTACATGAGTTATTACATAAAATGCTTCGACCTACCATCCAACCATCAGGAATCCCTGACTCTATGGTTGCTGCTCCGGTATTTGCATCATCCGCAAACTTGTCAGCCGTGATAAAATCCACAGGTAAGTGATTGCAACATTCTTTGCCTTAGCTGTCTCCATTACCTTATTAACAATTTCGGCACCTTCTGCATCATATAAACTACCTCCAATCTACAAAATGAAAATGCAAAAAGTATGGACATTAATACAATGAAAATGTCCAAATAACTAGGATCACGTAAAACATGAACAATGGAGCACTTCGAAGGGAAACTTACTTACTGTCAAACTTAATACAACAACAATAATGCTACACTCATAGCCTTCAAAATTTCGGGAATTATGTGAAAATGCTAGGCTGTTTTCAATCAAACTACCAACAGATGGATCACACTTTTGACCATGTATATCGAAACTAGTGATAGGAAACAGAGTCTTTCCTGATAAATGGACTACAAAACAACCTAAAAAGCTTTTGTTTAAGTTCATATAGGCAGAAGTCTTACGTAAATATTCAATAGTTTAAACGACAGTACATTTCAACAACTGGGCTACTACAGGTATCCATATTTGTTTACAGCAATTTTAGCATGAATTAGCTATTGTCAGTTTATCATTTCATATAGATTTATATGGTTAAATAAACCTGGTGACAACTGCTTGGGGTTTCATGAAAACCGTCTTTTACTCTTTTAGATGTATTTCTAATAATCTTCCAAATCAACTCAGGTAGGTGTCAGAATTAACACTTCAGGAATGAATACAAAAACTAGGGCCTTGATTCAAACAAAACAGAATTGAGTTAACTTACATTCATATTGTGCAGCTTCTTGAGGAACGTATACGCCATACCACCACCAATGATTAATTCATTAACTTTACCAAGCATATTATTGATTAGCTGAATCTTGTCACTAACTTTGGCGCTACATTAAGAAAAAGAAACTGTGTGCCTTATATGTTGCAAGCAAGAATTTCATGTAATGTACAACTATCGTAATATCAAAAACAAAATAATTTTAAGGGTATTCGTTCAGCATAAAGCACATAAGAAAAGGAATTTTACCCTCCAAGGATTGCAAGGAAAGGACGTTCAGGATTCTCTAGAGCTTTAGCGAAATATGTTAACTCCTTGTTCATGAGAAATCCACAGGCCTTTTGTGGTAACTGGCAACCAACCATTGAACTATTAAAAGAAAAAATATGGAGTTAATATTGATTGACTCGTACGCAAAACAAATAAATAGTGCTTAAGACTTAAAAAAGGTATGAACAAAATATAAACAGCTACTTAAGTGACTTAGAACACAAAGCAAAAGGTAAGAGTAATGGCAGAAAAAAGTGGAAGCAAAGGCAAACCATTTCCGATAAAAATCAACACAGACGACCCCACCTCATTATAAATCAAAAGGACTATATTTTTGTCGATGCTCAATTACTAATCTGTTGGTTTTTTTAAGAAAAGTACGATTAAGTGTGATAAGTTGACTGATACCTACCAGAATGCGAGTAATTGATGAAAAAATATGGATAACTATGCCCTGCTCCACCCACCGAGGTTTTGCCAGTCAGTTAGTATCACAGGCCTCACACAATAGGTGCGGTTTATTGCCTACCGCACAAATGCTCATAAGGCTTCTGACTGCATTTAATTCATCTTCAGTTCCTTACCTGTGATGCGTTAATAACAATAGGTATATTCATACTATAATGTCAGTTCCATACATAAAACTGCATTACGCTGCAAATGATATGTGCGCTGTATGCATCAAGGCATGTGTAAGTCATTTTGAGACTTTACCCAATCTACTCCCAACTACATCCAAAATGTCATATTAAAAACACCAACTGGGCATACAAAACACTATCTAACTACCTCAACAGTTGGAATTCAAAAAAGAAACGGATTTTCTTCTCTAAGAACCATACATAAGCCCATATATAACTACTAGACGGATTGGAACGTAAAAAAGTAACATACAGTTGACTTACGCATGAGCCCGATGTGCAGTGCCAAACGCATCATTTACGTAAACATCACCCAGTTTTGTCAAACTTTCGCTGAAGGCTTTGATCTGATCAGTAGTAGCTTTCGTCTACAAACACAGAAAAGGAAACAATGTGTTGTCAGGAAAGCGTCAACAACACAAATATTGCTGTTGAAATAGTATTATGTCACACAATTTTAAGTTGTGATACCGAATTTATTGATGTTAATCAACCGGAAACAGGCGAACGGAAGTAGAAACTGGCAGAGAAGTTCATCGGTTGAGCTTATCAAACTTTACAGTGTATGAGAGGAGGAGAAATCAATCAAGGTCAATGAAAATATTCAATACTTTGAATACGACAAAGTGTATACTTCGGGAGCACGATGACCGATTTCCAGTCATATCATCAAGAGTCTTAAACCAATAATTTCTACTCTTCAGGACCGCAACCACGTCGCCTACACCTCACATGGCTCAGATCAACGGCCAGAGACTAAATGGACTGGTAGCACGTCTGCATATGGCCACGTTGAACCTTCTTCTAAAGCAATCCTACTTTGGCGAACATCGGATGCCAAGGCGGGCGATGTATCGGTATGCAAAAAATGTGGGGCTTTACAACCTCATTGACTGAAGTGCCTATCTTGCCTGATACCCTACGTTTAATTTCGCCATTGCTCACACAAGGATCCTACAATAAGTGAGAACTGCTACCAAGATAACTGTAGTCAAAAACCTGTAATCTCTCCACATCTTCTACCCTCAACGGCTCCCTCAACCGTATAATACGACAAAGCGGATCGAAATACAGCTTATTCATACTTTAATAGGTGGTCGGATGTTTTACGGACGCCAGAGATGATTTAAGTTGGTAAATGTTGGAGGAACCACTTTTACTCGAAACATAGTTATGTACTAAGTTATGGACCACAATTTGGTGTGAGGCCTTATGATACTATCCGGTTGCTCCAGCCCCGTGAAATGATAACTAATTTACTTGAAAACTGAGTTACTTCAAAATTTCAGTGAGCAGAACTGCTAAGTTATGCCTCAGATGCACATATCCTCAGTAAAAACTACGTGCTTCAGAATGACTTGTTTACCTGGGAAGTAACTTTAGAACAAAAATGTAGCTGGTGTTCATTAAACGAACCGCTCTACTGCTACTGGGCACTTACCCAGGACTATCTCTGCTTGCTATTAATTATTGCTGGTTGCAGGTAAATGGGCTACTAAGTAAATTAAATACATTATTTCAAGTACTTCCGACGTGCATCCTCAAAAGTGGAGACATAAATTAAAACATCTCTATCTTTGGAAATAAATTGCAACTGAAAAAAATGAGTTGTTCTAAGTTTTTTAATTAGTTGCTGGACAAACACTTCCCTCAAGTGGATAGCTGGAGTGGAATACCACACCTTTAGAACTAAGCAGAAAAAAGTAGCATAAATGCCAATAACAGGAACTACTACTAATAAGATACATCTAAAATTGGAGTAATCGTAATATTTCACAGAGAAATAATGAGAATTACGAAAGCATCAAAGAAAAAGGATATGCGCGCCTGTTGAAACAAGAAGTTGCATCCGAGTAATTACAAATCATTTAGAAACAACCACCACAGAATAAAATCACACCAAATTCGATCGAAGTGATCGCATACCTGAGGAAATGTGATAAAACATAACGGTTGAGATGAAAACATTGTGTACAAATCCCTACATTGGAATTGATTCTGAGTCATATCACCTGGAATCTTCAACCACTGGTTTCGATTGTCTCGCCGACCGCAACCAGCCAGTCCGCATCGTCCTACATGGCTCAAACTAATAGTCAAGGACCTCATGAATTGATGACATGTTTTAGTCTGGCCAACTCGAGCCGTTTTCTAGCCTGAAACTCCGGCCAACATTTTGACGAGGCAGACTGTGGCTACGTTTATGCAACACATATCTCAGCCATCTCAGTCGATGACGGTTCAGATGTTGACAGAAAGACCTCAATAAGAACGTCTATGATAAGATTGAGTAATAATGGTGAGAATAAGCATCCTTGACGAACACTCGACGTACACATCTCACCCAATATTTCATCGTGGGCTCTAACACACCCACAGGTGTCCGAGTAGAGCTCTCATTAAGGTGATGCATTTAATTGATACGTCTTTCAGTGAGGTATAGCCATGAGACCTCTTAAAAGACAGAGTCCAGTCCTGTGGCAACTCGGACCGTTACCCAGTAATGGCTGGTCCTATACTGATTTTGATGAAGAGTCGAGTGTCCGCCTTCCGGGTCGAGAAATACAGCTATTGCCGGGCGTCGGTAAGCTTGCCAGTGTTCCAGAAAGACTAACCTACCGTAGTATTACGAAAATAACCTCACTTAAGGTGCCTAACATTCGCATCACATGCCTAATGGTTTGTAGGCAGGTAACACTCAAAATGCTTCAAACCACAACAGAGTGGTGCTATGATCCCACCACTAACCTTTCAAATATGCAAGTCAACAACAATAGTAAAAACCAGATGACCGACTGAAACCGGATGTCACTTTTTAGCAGCATATGTAGGGTAAATTGTCCTAGTGGTTTTTCGACGGAGACATCACCTAAATGCCTTTGGAAGAGGATGGGTATTTAATTTCGAACCAAAAACAGGTGGAAAAGAAGTACATCTACCACTAGTTATCACCTGATAACTCACAGCTGAAGCGCACCCTTGGTTTTAGACTGTCACCAAAGTCTTAAGGCGAAAATAAAAGCTGGACGAGTATATCAACACGTTCAAAGTTTTAGCCTAGCCATATACATAAAAAGCCGCAGGGATTCCCTTGGTGATTTTTGTAACCTTCGACCTAAAGAGTACCTGCAGCGCAGAAATATATACACTTATGCCATATCTAGGAAAGAAAACTTTAAAAATAAGCGGATAGAATACAGTTTATATAATACTGACTTTTTCGCCAGTAGGTGAAACTCCTTTGCCTTCTTCTTCCACATGAAAACGCAGATTTTCTAAGAGAAATACAGAACCAGGAGTAGGATCAGCACATGTCTTTAATACATCAGGACCCACACAGTCAGGAAGAAAAGTAACTTCCTTGCCAAGTAATTTCGAAACTTCAGGACACACAGGTTTTAGGGAATATTTGTCAACTTTATTGCCATCTGGCCGACCTAGATGTGACATCAATACGACACTTTTAGCTCCTTTATCCAAAGCATATTTAATTGTTGGTATCGCTGCAGAAATCCTAAGATAAAATAAGAAAACACTGCACAATCTTCACCTTTGTGTGTTAGTGACTTTCCCATCTTTCATAGGAACATTGAAATCAACTCTGCAAAGTAGAAATGTCAGCACTGTCCAAACTCTCTTACCGAATAAGAACACGTTTCCCTTTAAGGTCGACTTCACTTATATTCAGCTTTGCCAAACCCATCACGTACACAAGCGAAATAGAACACTACGACCTGACAGCTAC